ACCTTCCCTACACCTTTAGCCCCTTTCAATTTCTCAGTCAGTAATCTTATTAGGATCATGGCTATTATTGCACATTATTCACACCAGAGAAACTATTCAGTTTTTACACATATGTGCCTTATTCATTTCACTTAGGAGTACATCTTGAGTATGTATCCATTTTCCTATGAATGAATCTATTGTCTCATTCTTTATCACTGAATAATATTCCATTTTATAGAAACACCACATCTTCTATATCCTGTTTCCAACGGATGTGCTAATAGGCTGTTTCCAAGTTTTAGCTATTACAAACTGTGCCGCTATAAACATGGGTGCACATACTTCACTGTGATATGATTCTTTTAGTTCTTTTGGAAAGATACCAAGCAGAGGGATGGCTGGGTCAAATGGAACCTCGAGTCCAAGCTCCTTGAGGTTTCTCCATATTGATTTCCATAGTGGTTGCACTAGTCTGCACTCCCACCAACAATGGAGAAGGGTTCCTTTCTCCCCACAGCCCCGCCAACATTTGTTATTGTGTGTTTTTTGATAGCAGCCATTCTTTGTGGGGTGAGGTGGAATCTCAGTGTTGTTTTCATCTGCATCTCTCGAATGACCAGTGATGTGGAACATTTTTTCATATATTTACTTGCTCCTTTTACTTCTTTGTCTGAGAAATGCCTGTTCATTTCAGATGCCCATTTTGTATCGGGTCTTTATATTTGGGGGGCTGATTGTTTTGATTTCTTTATATATTCTTGATAATAGTCCTTTGTCTGAGGAACAGATGGGAAAATTTTTTCCCGAATTGCAGATTGTCTCTTAGTTCTGCTGATGGTTTCTTTTGAAGTACAGAAGCTTTTAAATGAAATGAGATTGCAGTGGTTGATTCTATCTGCTAGTTCCCATGCTACTGAGGATTTGTTCATAAAGTCTTTTCCTATGCCAATGTCTTCCAGAGTTCTGCCTAACTTACCTTCAAGCAAGTTTAATTTTTGTTTTAATATTTAGATCTTTAATCCATTTGCATTTTAATTGAGTGCATGATGAAAGATAAGGGTCTAGTTTTAATCTGTGGCAGGTTGAAATACAGTTTTTGCAACACCATTTATTAAAGATGCTATCTTTCCTCCACTGAGGATGGTCAGCTCCTTTATCAAAGATGAGGTAGCTGAGTACATCTGGGTTTGTTTTTGTGTCTTCCAGTCTGTTCCTCAGGCCTGTTTCTTTGCCAGTACCATGCTCTTTTTATCACATTGGCTTTGTAGTATAGTTTCAAATTGGGAATTGTTATACCCGCTGCCATGTCTCTGTTGCCTAAAATGGCTTTTACTATTCTAGGTCTCTTATGGTTCGAAATGAATTTTGGAATTCTTTTTTCTAGTTCTATGAAATATAGTGTTGGAATTTCAAGTGGCATTGCATTGAATGTATAGAGAAGTTTTGGTACTATGGCCGTTTTCACTATGTTGATTCTTCCTATCCAGAATCAGGGGATATCTTTCCACTTTTTAACATCCTCTTCAATTTCTTTTTTCAAAGTGTTGTAATTTTCAGTGTAGAGATCATTTGATTCTTAGGTTAGATTGATCCCAGATGGTGTCTTAATTTGTTTCATGCTGTTATACAAAATGCATGAGACTGAATAGTTTATAGGACCACAAAATCACTTCTCTTAGCTCTGGAGACTGCAAATTCCAAGAAGAAGAAGAAGGCCCTGGCAGGTGTATTTGCTGCAGGGTGTGTCCTCTGGCAGGAAAGAATGCTGTGTCTTCACATGGCAGAAGGCAGAATGGCGATGGAGACAAATGCTACATGAAACTTCTTTTGAGACTCTGTCATTCATAAAGTAGGAACCCTGTTTTCTTCTGTATTTGTATATATTTGAGATGCATAAAATTATTTTATTTGGGGAAAATATGTATAATAGAAATATATCTATTATATATGATATAAATATATTCAATGTAATATAAATGTATCATATATATGGGATTTCTTGTTTTGGAGGTTAAATACCATGATGATAGGTCATAGCATGAAAGTGTCATCTTTTTTTAGTGTTATGTGTGGGTAAAGAAGTATATCACCAAGGAGAGCGAGACAGAGGAGGAGAGGAGAATAGAGGAGAGGAGAGGGGTGAAGAAAGAGGAGAGAGAAAAGGATCCTGAGACCCACACCCCTTCTGATGTTAGGAACCCAGTGATCCAAGCACATGCCCATCTCTCAATAACTCCCTAGCACTTCTCAGTATCACTTCCCTACAGACCAAGCCTTCAATTGCAGAGACCTTCAAGGGTCACAAATTCTACTCAAGCCATGTCACTCTTTCTAAAGGAAAATCATTCCTCAAGAACAATTTTATAAAATGAGTTTGTCCTAGTACTTTTTGATCCCAAATCTTTGTAGTTTGAAGCTGTAGCTGAAAAATTAAAGATTTCTGGATTCTAGCGTACAATACTCGAATGACTCTGAGCTCTTCTCTTTCAGTGTCTTAGTAAATGCGGAGGGTGTGAGTGAGTTTCTGCAGAGAGGATGAACTGAAGGAGTGGGTTTCTTTAGTCTTATTGTTAATCATGCACGTTACCTGTACACATTAATGGGTTTAATTTTGGCTTTTTTGTACATGCGTGTAACATTCCCCGTCGGATGTCTATCCCCTCTTATTCCCTTGATTTTCTGTAAAAGTCCCATCTCCTTTCGTGTGTCTCTCTCTGACTCTCTCTCTGTCTCCCCCCACCCTTTCTCTCTCTCTCTCTCCCCCTCTCATCTCTCATCATCGCCTGTCTCTTATTACTGTTACTACTGTGCTGGGGGTGGAACTGAGCATTGGACGTCTGCTACGCAATTCTAGCAATGATGCACACCTGAAACCCACACTCAAATTTTATGTCTAACAGTCGTCTCTACTACTTTCATAAAAATTCATTGAATGAAATATGAGGAATATTTACGCAGGAATGAAATACCTTCTCTGTTTCCCATTTGGATCCACAGAGCGGAACAAAATTTCTAGAAAATAACTTGTTGAATGGATGGAATGCCATTGTGTATATACACACACATAGAATATAAAAATTTATTTATTTAACACAAGCAGTAGAGTTTATGACAAATTTCACCTCATCTTACTGAGCACCTATTTTCAATAAAATATCTTACCTTCTGTAAGATTCAAAGTGAGAAACGAAAAAATCTTGAAATTAATTAATTATTGCACTGCTTGGGATGGAACCCAGGGCCTTGTACATGCTACGCAAACTCTACCACTGAGGTGTACTCTGACTCCATAAAATGAATGTTATATTGATGTTTACCTTGTGGTGAACATGTTCTTTAGCCTCTGTGTATGGATGTGGAGGATTGATGAATTCCCTGGTACTATACACTGTAAGTAGGCAGAACTGAAGTGTACAGGTGCTTTCCTAACCACAATCAAGAAGCCACCGAGGGATGGGGTACAGCTCAGTGGCAGAGCACTTACCTAATATTTGTGAGGCCTGGGTTGGTTCCTTGATGAAACACAGCCATACAGACAAACACACACACACACTCACACACACACCACCCCTATAATCACTTCCAAATGTTTTCATTTTCTTAGGAGAAATGAAATCACCTCTATATAACATTAAACAATAGTAATGCATTATTTTAAATACTATTGCTACTGCTTGAACCACAAGAAAATAAATTTTCTGATGTATTTGAATTTAGTTTCCCTTAAACAGTTTTATTAGCATATGCTTCTCTTGTGAGGAAATTCATCCATTTCAAGTGCACAATTCAATGGTTTGCAGGATATTCATAGATGTGTACAATCCTCATGGCAATCTTAGAATGTTTCTGTCACCTCACAGAGAATCTTTGTCCTCCTTAGTTATTCTGCATCCCTTAAAAATTAAAGAAATAAAACTCAATCAATAAAAATTGGAAAATAAACAACAGAAAACATTTCATCATATTGCAGGTGTATATATATATCCCATGTATATACCACTTATCTCTGTTTCTAAAAGTATTACAACTACAGAGATTAAATGCCAAGTAATTCACTATCTACCTTGACACATGCTTAAGAAACTAACATTGTGGACAGCAAGTGATCTGCAAACTTTCAAAGATTCTTTAAGGGAGGCTCTACACAGAGTTATTGTTAGGTTTGTTACCCTGTAGAAATTACTTTCCTTTGGGAATAGCTTGTGACATTGAAATCAAATAAAAGAAAAAAAACTGTCTCCCTCTGGAGGGAATAATACCATTTTATTTTATTGCTCCCTACATAGATGTGAAATTTACCTAGAAGTTTTTACTCTGTTACCTTCTCTGCACCTCAGAGGAGCTGATTATTTGGAAAGCAGGAAGAAAATGGAACAATTTATGTAATGAGGAACTCTTGAGAATTCAGCAGTTGAGATGCTAGGAATTTTAAACACGCCTTGTTGCTCCTCGCCTGCAAGTGTGGACCCAGCTCTGCAAAATCCCAACGGACTTTTTAGGGAGATCCTGGAGAGAGAATATCTGCAAGTGCAGCAGGTGGAAGGACTCAGTGCTGCTCAAGGAGGTGGGTGGACTAAGAGCAAAGGAGGAAGTGGCTAGTTTCCCCTTACTGTGAATAATAACTCTAAAATGGCCCAAAGTTTATGTAGTCTACAAAGGTGAATTTTCTGTATTTGCTAGGTACTTTATTTTCTGCTGAATCACATTGTGCTCTTCGCACTCTCTTCTTTTTTCCTGCAATTCAAAATCTTTCACCAATAAGCTGGAAATTACTATTCTTAGGAGATCAAATTTTCTGTAGAGTCTCTTTCATACATTAAAAGTGCTCCTTGACATTTACGAGAGGTAACACACCTGTTGTATTTATGTTGAATTTCATCCTCAGTGGCTGCCCCAGTTAAGTGGCATATTGATAACCGATACCCACGCAGGACAGCTTTATTGTGATGTTCAGAACAGAAGCTCACGAGTATGAAACACTCGCAACTCTACCCAAGGAGAACAGTCATACACAGGCCACTTAATTCCTTCATCCAATCCGACCTCATGGTGAGTATCCATGACGAATACTGTGGAAGGGAATCACATGTTCAAAGTTGAAATTATTTTTTCAGGATCACACAGATGTGTGGTATATTGATGAAATAACAGTGTATTAAAGAAAGTTTGACTCAAGAATCCAATTTTTAAATAACAGTTTTGTACAGCACCTTGGGAAATTTAGGTATCCAAACAATTATTATAAATGGAGAGTTTAATCTTCCTAATATTAATGTCAACAAAAAATACTTATTGAGATTCTACTGTACACAAGGCATTTTAATGCTCAGAAATATAATAATAGTAATAATAAAACGTTTTTGAAAAATGAGGGAGTGTTAACTTTCACAAATTTATGAAGTAACACCACAAAGACTAAAGGTAGCCTGACTTAAAAATCAGGAACAAGACAAGGATGCCCACTATCGCCACTTCTCTTCAATATAGTTCTGGAAACATTAGCCACAGCAATTAGACAAGAGAAAGAAATTAAAGCAATAAAGATAGGAAAGGAAGAAGTTAAACTATCATTATTTGCTGATGATATGATACTCTACAT